CGCCCCCGGCACAACCCCAGTTCTTCCCATCATTGGGCAGGTTGGCAGCCCCCATGTGACAGTGAAGGTGGCACTGGGGGTGGCACTGGCTCCGATTCCCCAGCCCGGGGTGGCATCTGCAGACAGACTGTGAGGTTCATCCCACCCCAGCCCCGCTCTGCCCCCCAGGGGACACGTCGTTGCGCCTGCAGAGGTGGTTTGGATTGAGCCCAGCTCTCTTGGTCGCTCCTCTTTATGCTCGCCTAGGTCCCACAACACAAGAAAAACGATGGTGTCCACCCCCCCCATCCCCCAAGGATGCAGAAACCTCCCGTCCACCTTCCTTACACCCGCGGCGCTGGAGCACCAGCCCCACACCGAGCTCCTCCCCAGCGTGCGTTAACCCAAAGACCCCGTCTACTCCATCAGAGCTCGTCCCACCGCAGCCACCCAGCTCAGCCTGGCGAGGTCAGGGCAGATCCTCAGGCTCTAGATCCAACTCAGAAATGCCAAACGACTTGACGTCACCAGCGACTAAGCAGCCGATTGCGAAAATAAATGTTTTCTATTTGAGATAAGTGGTTCCTCTGCGCTCCCATGGGATGTCCTGAGTGGGACGGAGCTGGACCTGGAGGCATGGCAATGCCGTGCCGGCCTTCAGACCATGCAAGGAACAACCAACTCTTGCCCTGGTGGACCATCCCTGCAGACCCATGGCAGATGGAGAGAGGCCAGGATGTCCCAGGACAACAGTTTAGGTGAGCTGGTGAGTTGTACTGAAAGGAGGTGAGTAAGCGGTTGTGCCAAAGCTCAGCTCTCCTGGGACCAAGAGGGAAGCCTGGTCCCCCCCGGGGACAGCATGGAGTGGAGCTGGGCTCACCAGGGGTTTTGGAGACTTGCTTACAGGGAAGAGACTGAAAGGGCTCCATTTGGTTTGCAACCAAGCAGATGGCAGAGAGGGGTCAGACACATCCAGGACTGAATGAAGAGCATCCACAGGAGGCGTGGGGCTCAGAGACAGCAACAGGCTCAGGTTGACCAAGATGTGCTGTCAGCCCACCAAGGGCTGCGGTTTTGAGGGGACACCTCAACCCCTTGCTAAAGAAACCTTGGCTCCCACCTTGACCCCGCAAAAGAGCTCCCACTTGAGGTTCCTATAGCCTCGCTGGGGTTCTTGGTGTGCCTCAGCCCTGTTTTCCCAGGCTATGGACCTCGCTCTCCACCCACTTGTGGTTTGGTAGTGTCCTTGCTTTCTTTTTTTTCACCTTTTCTTTCTTTGCAAAGCACTTGCCAGCCCCGCAGGAGCCCTGCACACCATAGAATCATGGAATGGTTTAGGTTGGAGAAGACCTTTAAGGTCACCAAGCCCAACCGTTCCCCTAACCCTGCCATCCCACCCCCAAACCCTGTCCCTAAGCACCTCATCTGCCCAGCTTTTAAATCCCCCCAGGGATGGGGACTCGACCCCTTCCCTGGGCATCCCCTTCCAGTGCCTGACAGCCCTTGTGGGGAAGGAATTTTTCCTGGTGTCCAACCTAACCCTGCCCTGGTGCACCTTGAGGCCATGAGACCATCTTCCAGGCTCAGATCTGCTGAGGACACCCCAGCACCGGGACCATCTCCCACCTAAACCAAAGCAAGGCTGCTCAGGAGGGATGGATGTGAGTAGGGAGAGGGCAGGGGAAGACCAGGAGGGGAGGTGGGCAGAGGGGCTGGGACGCGGTGGGAATTCAAATCTTCCATCTGGTATCTTCTCACTGAATCGAGCAAGCTGGGCTTTTTTTTTTTTTTTCCTTTTTCTTTCTCTGCATATTTAAGGGCTGAAATTTTCACTGATCTGTCAAAACGAGCGCTATAAAACCCCCAGCTAGCTGGAAAAGCAAAGTTATTGAAACCAGTTTGGTGACTCATGACCTTTCCATGAAAAGCTTCTATTAATATTCCTGCAAAAAACGCTCCCTGAAAGAACAAATTGAAATGTTTCAGGGGAAAAAAATAGCCAAATAGCTGCAAAGTAGCCCAAGCTGGGTACGAAAGCCTGCCCGAGCAGATCGGGGTGCTTAGCTGATCCCGCCCGCAGATCCAAGCTCATTGTGTTTCTCCTTTTGCTCAAGGATATCAGCAACAAACCCCAAATTCGCTTCCTTTGTCCCAACCCATTTGCCAGCGAAATTAAATTAAATGGTTTTTTTTTTTTAAACAAAAAAAAAAGGGAAAACAATAAAAAAAAAATTAATAAAACCATAAAATCCCGGGCCCAAGCCCATGCCCCAGCTGGTGTTAATTGGCAGCTCCCCAGCTCTCGGCAGAGCGAGCCAGCGCCTCTGAGCGCGGGATCAGAGGCCCCTGGATCCTGCCTAAATCCTGCCCTCCCTGGGGTATTTTTTCCTCGCCTTTTGTTTTTCCTGGCTTTCCCAGGCCCCCTCTGATCTATTGTCTGCCCGCATGACCAACATCTGATCTTCGGCGCTGGCTTGACGACGCTCGCGTGGGAGCAATGCACCCAGGCGATGCCCTGCCGGCACGGCGGGCTCTGGTGGGGAGGAAGGAGCAAAGTCACGGGGTTCCATCCCAGCAGGTCTCCTTATCGACCTGTTCCTGAGCATCTTGGACTTCTTGATGTAATATCGGGTGTTTTTTCAACCGTTGGCCCTCTCCAAGCTCCTGTCCGTGGCTACTGCCATCCCTGAGGAGCCGACACGAGCGCAGGGAGGATGGGGCTGAGCCAAAGCCCTCTCGTCTCCCAAATCATCGCCAGGTCTCCCTGGGACAGGGGCCGAGGTGGCTCTTTGAGGTTGCCTTCCCACCTGGGCCCCCACCCGGCACGAAGGATGTTTGAGAGCAACCCACAGAAGACCACGAAAACACACCTTGCCTTGAAATAGAGACAAGCGCGGCGCCGTCATCCCGAGTGAAAAAGCAGCAGCCGGGCGGGCGTCACTGGGGAGGCCAAGGGGTTGGGAAGGGCTTCGCTGCGAGCACCGATGGGCAACGGGACACGCGCCTGGTCAGCAAGGCCACGGGAGCTCGGCGGGTCCGTGGAGCACGATTTTAAGAAATACCTTGTGGCTGAGCTTGAATTGAGGGGGGTTTCTACTGGAAATGGGTGTAGGTTGGTTGACCAAGCCCCATCTCAAAGTGCAGAGAGGCCATCCTCCTCCTTGTCCTCATCCTCATCCTCCTCTTCACAGAAAGGGTTGTCAGGCTCTGGAATGGGCTGCCCAGGGAGGTGGTCAAGTCTCCATCCCTGGAGGTATTTAAAAGGAGGAGAGATGAGGTGCTTAGGGACAGGGTTTAGTGGTGGGATGGCAGGGTTAGGTTAAAGGTTGGACTTGATGATCTTAAAGGTCTTTTCCAACCAAAGCAATTCTATGATTCTATGATTCCTTCTCCTCCTCCTCCTCCTCCTCTTCAGGCCATAGGGTTGGAGGTTCTTGAGGTCAAGAGAAGGCAGCAGTACACCAGTGTAGGTTATTCAGGATGAAGATAAGACCAACAAGATGAGAATATTCATCTGTTACATGCAGCAGGACAAAAAGAAATTAATAAATTCCTTGCTTTTTAAAGGATTTTTCTCCTGCCGCCTCCCAGTTGTGCTCAGCCTGGGTTGCCGCATCCCCGTCCCCTCCAGTCTGGGGGTAGGTGGGGATCCCACGGCAGCACGGTGCAAGGCTCATCGGCATAGGAGAGCTCCGTAGTACGTTTTATCTTGCTGTTAGTTAACTATTTTCTATATGGCAACTTGTGTTAAGAAAAAAAAAAAGGAGCTCATTGAAAAAAATATCTATAGAGGCGCAGGCATCTGTTAACTCAACAATTTATGATTTATTGAGATTATTTTAGGGATTTTGATGAATTACTGATGCTGGTTTAAACTATATCGTTCCCCTAACACCTCTTTGTGCTCTCATTGTAAGACCGAACAACAAGGGAAGATTTTAGCAAAGATTACGGAGCGCTGCTGGGGCTGGACCCCGATACCCCAAGGAGCATCGTGCCAGGACTTCAGTGCTGCTCCAGAGAGACCCAGGGTGAGAGCTCCTGACCACCAGGAGCCGGGAGCAACGCCAGGAGAATGTGATGAGCAGAGACAGCTTGGACGGGGTGCACCGACACCGGAGAAGAAACGCTTTGGAGAGGCAGAGAGGGCACAGGCGGGAGATGGGAGGGTTGTAGGGGTTCTCAAGGGTGTAGGACCTTCTTGGAGTGGGTGGCTGGGCATCGGTCACCAGTGGACTCCAGTTACATGTGTTGATTCTAGTGGTGTGGTAGCAGAGGGTTGAAGACTATGCAATATATGGAGAGACCTGGGCAGGATATTTTATATCTTGGGATCTGAACCTGGGCTTCCAAACTTGGCTGGAAGAGGATGCAGCTCCCCCAGCATTTCTGCAGGGAGAAGGAAGGGGGGTTATTGGTAGGCAAGTGCAGGGGTGGTGTGAGGAAACAATACTGCTCCCAGTGCTTGGTTTCAGGGGCAGAACGGGCTGTGGATCCAGCTGGGAACAGGGTCTGGACCTGTTCCACCCTCTCTGTCTGCAGTAGCTGCCATGTTATTGGAGGGGAATTTGATGGTGGATGAGTATTGGCTTCCACCTGTATGATAAGGGCTATTGTAGGCTGCCCGAAACGTAGCCAGAGGGAGGGAGGTGGATGGAAGGGTGGGTGGAGGGATGGGGGGAGGGATGGGGGGGGGGCTGGAGGGGGGGAGGGGGGG